TAAGTTTTGATTTGATTGAACAAATCAAATTGAATGAAAAATTTATCATGGATATTCAAGCTTCACTAGGAGAAAATAATGGAAATTCATCTCTAATTTACCCAACCAGTGAGGAAAAATTTGACAAGTCCACTAAGAAGGAAATGTCACTCTATGTGAATAGAAGTGAATCAGAATTTTCCTACCACACACTCATACTAGATGCCTGTTCCTCTAATTTATTTACCTATGATACAAAGAAGAGAAAAATTCATTTCAAAGATGCACAAAAAATTAAGGAATTGATTTTGAAATGGACTGAAAGGAGTAAGGATACACGAGTAGTTGTCATTTTCAGTGATAAAGACTCTTTCAGAGTTTCTCTCAATATACCTGCTAATCATGTCAATTCTTTAAATGTAATGCATTTGTTGAGAAATGCCATAATGGAATTGTCATTACCATCACCTGTTTATTATTGTACAGATAATGAAAATAAGGATATTTTTCTACTTATTTGCCAGGTAAGTTTATATTTTATTATTTACCGATTTAATCTATCCTATAATAATTATTCCAGATATTTTACGTTTATTCTATTAAAACGAGTGAATCATTATTAATTTCAGATAACAAGATTGATTTACCAAAGACTATATTCAAATTATTCCCAAAACTTTCCTTAATAGATTATTCGAGCTTCTTCTCATTGGAAGATTTAAAATCACATTCATTAGAACATAACAATACACCAATATCTAACAATGAAATTATTCCATTAGATTTCAATTCAAATGCAAGAAATATTGAAGCACCAAAACAAAGAAGATATCCATTACTGAATCTTTTAAGCGAATCTGAGAATATGACGGATGAGTCTTACGTAGAGTACACTAAAAAGGGAATGTATCACGGTATGATTCTACAGAGACAATACATTTCATATTTCGAATATAAGGAAGACTTTTTCGAATGCTCTGAACCAATTTTACTGAATGAAGAAAGTCAATCGAGAGTTATTCTATTTGATGACTTGGATAGAATGGAAGATGATGACAATCAGGAAGAGGAGCAGGAAGAGAATCCACTAGAAAGACTGAAAAGATTAAAAGAAATGTACAATAGGACAAAACATTTAGATTCACAAGGAAGAGCCAATAGTAACGAAGCATATACGAGTGTTACTGTCGCGGGGTCATCTTCTACTGGAGTGTTTGCCATCAAAGATCCCTTTGGAAGAACAAATTCAACAAATATACCATCCCAAAATGATGGTATGGAACTTTCAACAGCTTCTCAAATGGAAAATGCTGCTCACAATCAGACATCATCAACTGGTGTGATGGCCAATAGCGTTTTAGCTGACAGTAAAGTACTTTCAGCTCTCGTTGTGAACATGTCCATTCACCAAGTTATGAATCATTTTGGAATGACATTCTTTCAAAGAGGAAGAGACTATAAGAATGAATACAGAATTGATAATTTCAAAACTAAAATTATCAATAATGTTGCTTTCAAGCTCTATAGTACCTGTGTTGGTACGAGACCTGAACCATACAAGCAAGAAAGTATCATTAAGGAAGGAAAACTTTTGAAGGCTATTTGTAATTGTCCTATTGGAGCAGAAGGCACATGCAAACATATTTGTGCTCAAATTCTAGCATTTAGAGAAAAGGACAAGTATATGAGAGAAAAGTTTGAATCTTTGAACAGTTCCAAGTCTGATAGGTTACTTCCTCCACCAATACCATTCTCTCAATTAGATCCAGTTCTAGATGATTGGTGTATCAAGGTAAAGGTTATCAAGAAACACAATGAGAAATCATGGGCCAACGAGAGAGGTTCTGGACGTGTAGCTGCCATCACCATTGCTGATGAGCTTTCAGGAGATATGTCCCTCTCCTCAAAACAAAACAAGGTTAAATTGATCATGTTTAATGATTGTATCAATGAATTTTATGATCAAATGGAAGAAGGCGAAAGTTATTATGTCAATAAGGGACATTTAATCAAAAAGCCACACGAAGATTTCTTTGAAATTCAATTATGTACCAATACTGTAGTAAGAAATATTCATCAGCTCAATGTTAAATTTAAGGATCAACATAATACAAGCGCAGACTATTCAAGAATATTCCAAGAGAAACTTCAAACTAAAAATATAGGAATTGAATTTGAGGAATATCCACTCAATTCAAGTACCACATAATAATTCCATGATTGAACCATCTCCTGAAAAGAAGAGAAAGATTGAGCAAGTCATTTCTCAAAATAATGCAGAGAATGAAAATATTGAGGATCAAGAAGAGGAGGACCAACCAGAAAGAAGAATAGTGAATAATGAATACGAATCACCAAATAAGAAGGCAAAACTACCATCCATTGATACTAGGTTTGATGATATTATGAATGCTCAAACAATGGAAAGCCAACACTCAATCATTGCATCTCAACCAATGACCTCAACATCCAACGAATCCTGCAAGTCACAAATTATCAATACTCCAAGTACAGGTAAAAAGTCTCAGGTCATTGAAGAGGAAGTATTCAATGTTGATGAAGATGAGGAAATTCATCAAGTAATTGTTCAAGATGTAGATGAGGAGGAGGATGGGCCAATATTTACTAGTGACAATTATCAGAAACCGGCCACTGAGTCTATCCTCGCTAAATCACAACCTTTGAGTTCATCAGAACTAGCAACAAAACCAAACACATCCTCTTCCACTGTACCATCCAATAACAACTCACAAAAGAGTAACCATTCCAGTAACAGCTCGAGCACACCCACTCCAAAACCTCATTATTACTTTGATGAAAATGAACAGAGTCAAACATTTGAAGATATTTTCTTTACTCCATTCAAAACTCCACAAACTTGCTCCACAAACAAAACAACACCTTCATCCACCTTCTCCCTCAATGCCAAACTAGAGAATATTCTTATTGACGATGAATCTTCCCCATTCTATCAAAGTGAATCAAAAACTAAGGACTTGATTCCTGATGATGATGTTCAAGAAATTGTAAATAGTCAAGAATTTGAAAGAAAACCAATGAGCCCTAAATCCCTAAGTCAACACAACAAGCCACAAGTTTTGGATTATGTTGTTTTGAGTGACAATGAAGAAGTGGAAATTTTGGACTTTGTCACTCCAAGAAAACCAATTCGTAAAAAGACCAAACCTCAATCCCCAATATTTCAACCTCCACCTCCTACCGATATTATTGTAAGGAAACCTTCTGCTTCAATAATTGTTGAAGAAAAACCAAACCAGCAACCAGAATCTTCCAATAATTCCACCTCAGCTTTAGATAATTCCACAACAACCCCTTCTTCCACCAAAACTCCTAAAAAAGTCAGTCTCAAATTCCTTCTCGATAACAATGACATGTCTGACTGGTAAATCAATAATTTTCCTCAATAATAGTGTTCTTTTACTTTAATTCCATGCCTTTACCAATTTTACCTATCTATTAATAAGTTTTGTTTGTTGGTGGAATTTGCAATTTGCAGAAAGCACATTCTCTTAAAAAGAGCTCTGACAAAATCGTTGTTTTCAATTAAAATTAATTTAAATCTGAATTGAAAAAATATTCATCACAAGAGGTATGTACCCATCGTTCCGCTTTTATGAACCGTGTTTTTGTTTGCTTTCCTTTTTTTTAACAATGATCATCATCAACAACATTAAACAACAATTCTGACAATAATATTTAACAATAATATATTTGCGGCAATTTGTGGATAATGAAAATGTGTGATGATATTCTTCTTGATAAATAATTTATTTCTTTGATGATGGACAAATTAATAATATTGTTAACAGAAAATGCTCGATATCAACTTGTTAAGAGAATACAAGAACGGAAACCCTGAAATTGTCAGAGAATCCCAACGTAGAAGACACAAGGATGTTGCTCTCGTCGATAAAGTCATTGAATTGGATGCAGAATGGAGAAAGCTTACTGGTGAAGTTAATGGTATCAAGAACTTGGGCAACATTGTCAGCAAGGAAGTTGGTCAAAGAATGAAGGCTAAACAACCACTCGGTGATGATATTGAAATCCCACAAGAAATTTTGGCTACTGTCGATAAGAATTTTACAAAGGAAACTCTTGAAAGTGTTTTCCCTCAACTCAACACAAATCAATTGAAGAAACTTTCTAATCATATTACCGAAGTTCACGTCAAGCAAGCTGATACTGATGCTTCTAATAAGGAAAAGGAAAGAGATGAAGTTTTGCTTCAACTTGGTAACCTTGTTCACGAAACTGTTGTTGTTAGTGATAATGAAGATAACAATGGTATTGTTCGTTTGGTTGGTAATCCAAGACCAAAGGTTGATGACAGTGGATTCAAATGTCTTAAACATATTGATATCATGAGAAAGCTCGGATGTTTGGCTACTGAAGAAGGTACTCAAGTTGGTGGTGGTAGAGGTTATTTCTTGATGGGAGATTTGGTTAGATTGAACTTGGCTCTCCAAAATTATGCTATTCAATTTTTGACTGAAAAGGGATTCTGTCCAATGTACACACCATTCTTCATGACAAAGGATCAAATGAAGAGAGTTGCTCAATTATCTCAATTTGATGAAGAATTATATACTGTTTCTGGTGAAGGTGAAGACAAGTATTTGATTGCCACTTCTGAACAACCAATTGCTGCTTTCCACTTGGATAAGAGATTTGACGAAAGTGAACTTCCATTGAAGTATTGTGGTATGTCCACTTGTTTCAGAAAGGAAGTTGGTGCTCACGGTAAGGATACTTTGGGTATTTTCCGTGTCCATCAATTTGAAAAGATTGAACAATTCGTTGTCACTTCTCCAAAGGACAATAAGAGTTGGGAAATGTTCGAAGATATGATTGGTAACTCTGAAGCTTTCTATCAATCTCTTGGTCTCTCCTACAGAGTTGTTAATATTGTCAGTGGTGCTTTGAACAATGCTGCTGCTAAGAAGTTAGATTTGGAAGCTTGGTTCCCAGGTGCTGAAGAAGGTAACGAATATCGTGAATTGGTTTCTTGCTCTAATTGTACTGACTATCAAGCCAGAAGATTGAACGTCAGATATGGTAAGGCTGCTACTAAGGGTGATGCTGAATTCTGTCACATGTTGAACTCTACATTGAGTGCTACTTCTAGAACTATTTGTTGTATTGTTGAAAATTACCAAACTCCAGAAGGTGTTAATATTCCAGAAGTTTTACAACCATACATGGGTGGTACCAAATTCATTCCATACAAGAAGTAAATTTATTAATCTTTTGTTTTTAAATTTTACTTTCTTATGTGAGAAGGAACATAAGGAATCTAAATTTGAAAAATTCAAGTTAAGTTGGACTTGTTTCTATCCTGTGGTATCCTGCGGTGATCTATTCAGCTCAGAATTTCGAAACAATTCACGCCAAAGGAATCAAGTGAATTCATTTATATTTCAGATTTTATGATAGTGGATGGCTACGGCGTCCGATTTGAGAAGTTAAGCATCGTCGAGCCACATCAGTACTGAGGTTGGAGACAACTTGGGAACCTGTGGTGCTGTAGTCTTTTATTTTGAAAACCTTTTGGCTATTTTCATCTTCAAAAAAAATGCAAGAAGAAAATGCCACCCTCAATAACTGCAAGTAACGAGAAACTAAAATCAAAGAAAACGACAAAGAGGAAAAATGAAGAGGAATATATTCCTTTTGATAATGATGAATTTATTGAGGCAGAGGATGAAACTACGAAAGCAAAAAAACCAACAAAAACAAATATTAAGGTTACTACTCACAACAATCCTGTGCCAAGCACACCCAAAAAGAGAAAAACAGGATCTACTGTTGACTTTGTTCCTGTAACCACCCCATCCACATATACAAATTCAAACCATAATCCTGTTAAAGTGGATTTTTGCCAGTCAGACCTGGCTAACGATGATAGCCTGTTTAAAATACCATTTATTAACAGAGAATATGTTTCTCAACAATTAGCAGAATCTCTATTACTCCAAAAATCCACACAAAAAGGAATCCTGCCAATTTTGAGCCAACATTTTGGAAGTGGAAAGACAGCCCTTGTTGAAAACTTTAGACAAGTTTTAACAAGAAACAATATTTCTCTTGTTGGCACAGAAGAAAATGTCAAGAGTTTGATGCAGGCTGCCTTGGTTTATTTGGACGTATCAATTGAGGCTCCTTCTGATAAGTTTGAGGATTTAGATTTAAAAGGTATTTTTTTTGAAAATTGCTTGGAAAGAACATGTGATGCTTTAAAACAGGTTGATGCAACATTCTTGGACGAATCAGAAAAGGAAAAATTGAAAATGAGTTTGTCTGTGATTCAGAATATGGTTTGTAATGAAGAACCACTCTACTTGCATCAGAAAGTTGTTGCCTCATTCAAGGATTGTGGTAACATTTTCAACTTTTTTCAAAGATGGTCAAAAAACCAACTTTTTCCCTTACTTTTATTTTTTGATGAATTTTCCCACTTGGGAGAGAGTGTAATTCTCAAATTTTGGCAAAGGTTGAAACTGCTCTTTGGATGTACAAACCCTGGAAAAACTATTAGATATCCAGGTATATATATTGTGGTTGCTGGTAAATCGGCTGCCCTCGCCAAATTAGGAAGAGGTTTCATTGTTTCTCCAACGCCATCTATTCACATTGTATTGGACATGCTGAAAGTTGAGCATATAGCTGAACTGATAACTGAGTTAGAAATTTCACCAAACAAAAGTATTACAATGAAACAATTTTTGGAACAGGAATTCAAAATTGGGAAACATTTTGAGTTTTTTTGTAAAGTTCTTCATGAATATTCTGGAGGAATACCTAGACTAATTATCAAAACAGCATTCTCTTTTGTGGACTATTGGCGTAGAACAGGAAAAGCAGTGGAATTGTCTTCACGAGAAAAAATTGAGCTAGTATTTAAAAGTTTCAAAACAAGTGAAATATTGAGCCATGTAAGAAACCTTTCTGAAATAATTCCATTAACATTTGAGGCTGACCATCCTTCATATTCAACCTTGAAAAGATTTTTCTATTTTGCAACTGTCGGAATTCCAGTAGAACCAAAAGCAAATATGATTGATCTAATATATGATTTGAATATTGGAGTGGAAACCATGTTGGTAGCAGAGGAAGATGTTTCACACCAATATTTTCGACCAATTGTTCCAAAATTTATTTCACTTTCAGAAATAGAAATACCTGAAAAAATTCAAATGTTGCAACAAATATTCTCTCATGGATTTAAAGAGTCTCAATATGTTGACAAAGGAGCATTGCTAGAAATACTTGTACGAGATACCATCATTAGCAAAATTGTTTTTCTTATCACAGAAAACAAGTTGAAAGGAGGCAAATGGAAAACAATACATCCATGTTTTGCAAAATCAAATCTCTTGAGAGATAAAATTGTCAAGATGGATACACAGTATGTGAGATACATGCCAAAAATTATTACCAGCAATAAGGCCAAGTGTCATAAAGATTCAGAATACTTTGAAATGGATATTCCTTGGGACCATACAGCATCTGATCAAAACTGGAAAAAAGTGAAACAAGTCTTTTTTATTGGTGATTGCCTTGTTCATCCAGCTCCTAAATCAAGGTCAAGTGATTTTTACATCAACCTCCCTCCTGATTGTGCACTTGCTTTTGCAGTTAAGAATTATCCAAAAACTGTATTTTCAATTCAAATGCTACAACAAGAGATTGATACGTGTTTTTTATCTACACAGAAAGGCACTTTTTCAAAGATTACATTATTCGTATTTTGTAGTGGTATTGAACATTCTGATCTTAATAACTATTGCGATCGTGATGGATGTTTGGTTCTTGAATCTGGAGTTTATGAGTTTGAGGAGAATAATACTATCAAAACAACTCAATCAAGTTTTAAACCAGTTTTTAAAAAACTTAGAAATACACCAAATAATATATCAGAGTACTCACCGCCACACCACGATCTCAAAATTTATATCCCTGACGACATGGAAGTTATCGTTTTAGGCAAGCAAAGTTTTGACTCTTTTTTCAATGAAAATGATAGGTCATTATTGCAACGCTTATCAACAGACTTGCCAACTGTTCAACACCTAGAAAGCATTTTACCAAATATTTATTAAGTATTGGAATAGCTTACAAGGTTGAAATTACTTCATTGCAATTAAATGACAGATGACATTAATAAACTTTCACGTTTTTCTATGCTAATATTAAGTGATGTTATGTTTCATTTCACTTATATTTGACTCATTCATCAATTAGATTGCCAAGTTTTATCAAGCGATGTTAATTGTTTCATTTCACTAATGTAACCTTCTTGTTTTACCATGATGATGACAATGATGCTGTAATTACAGAAGAGTTTTTTACATTTATCCTAAATCCACAAGCACTTGGAACTTATTGGTCAACTTGCTTTTCGAAATGGTATTCATGGAAACACAACATTGAAAAAAATGAATACAAATAACCTTCCCACAGATTGCTTGTTGTACTTGTGTGATTTTATGATCCTTCAATTGAATGATTATTGCAATATTTTCCTAGTTAACAAACATTGGAGGAATTCATTGGAATTGAATAATCATTTCTGGTTGAGGCAAGTGTGTGGTATTGTTAAAATGGCTTCCGATGATCATCATCATTCCTTTGATCAATTGTGTAGCATGGTAATTTATGGAAATTGGACTGAATTCAAATTAAAGTATAAAGGAAATGTGTATTTACATAAATTTTGGAAGAGAATTGAAAAGTTAAAGGAAATGAGTAGTGATATTGAACTCTTAAAATCAGCAGCTTTTCAAGTGATTGTGCAATTTCATAGAAATGCATCGAGTCAATTTCAAAAAGAACGGTTAAAATTGGAGAACACTCACTATTTGGAAAGGTTTGAAAAGTATCACTTCTTTTATCAAGATGAATATCAGTCGAATGTCAATATGATTTTAACAATAGATAGCATGTTCATGACTCATTTCTCTCAGTATTGGGTTTATTTGATAGGCTTTGATACTAAATATCCAAATACACCAACCAGATTAACAACCATGTTTTTACAGAAATGTATCGAGTCGAAACAGAATTATTGTGGTAAAATGGCAAGTCTATTGTCATTTACTTTGAATAGTGAGACACTCATTGGTATAGATGTTGAGAATTTTCTATCAACCTTGATCAATTCATTGCTAAAGTATTTCACAAACCCTAGTATTAGCAAGAATCACAAGCAAAAGCTCGATCTTTATCAAAAATTGATTGATGAAATGTTTTTGAATTTGAATGAGTATCATAGTGGTGAAATATTTGTTTCAATAATGAAACGACTTCAGTCTGATATTTTCCCACTTGTTTCCAAAGAAAAGCAACAATGTGAGATTGTCACAATACCAAAATTGTCAAAACAATTATTGAATATTATTTGCCAAGATGGAAATATGAGAGAAAATATTATCCCTTTCGTATTTTCTAATTTTCGAGTGGAGAGTAACATGTTACAAACCTTATTGAAAAGTTCAAGAGATTCATTTATAGTGAAATGGTACTATACTACTTTACGAGATGAATTCACATGTGTGATCTATCCTCAAATCGAATATGTGATGGGAGAAGAGTTGATTTCATTTCAAGAATTGATCCAAACATTGGCTAATCATTACATGAAACGAGGGAAGACATTTAAGAAACTGTTGCAAGATATTCAAAAAACTAGCTGTCCATTCAAAATGGTACTTAGAAAGGGCGTGGGATTATTAGAAACCATTGAGCATTTGGAATATTACTACCAACTCTACTCGACCAATATGAAGAAGGATGTTGTAAAAGAGTATTTGGCTGAAGCACTTGGAGAAATGTTTCCAAGTATGATAGAAAGTAGTGGCGTTCCTTTCGCCAAGAGTATTGTCGATCATTACAAGACCAATTTCCATATTCCTCTTCACAAATGCTCAAAAAAGAATCATGACGCAAACATGTGCTTTGATATTTGTGAGATTTTGACTGCCAATCAAAATTGTCCAAAGAATTGGAAAGATAATCAAGCTTACTTTACGATTCATCCAATAGCTTTATATTTAATTGGAAATAGGTATTGTTATGGTGGAAATCTTGATCTTTCGAGCTTTCTTCCTGAATATGGAGAAACTATAATTACAGTTCCAATTTTGATAGATTTTGTGAGAACCTATACTGGTAATGATAGTTCACCAATTTATAGTTTTCCCTATTCGAAAGTTCCACCAACATCTATTCGATTCATTTTGAAGAAGGTCACATTGAAAACCTTACTTGAAAATCCAATGCTTATTCTGGATCACCTGTAGATTTTTCTAAGACAAAAAGACTACAGCACCACAGGTTCCCAAGTTGTCTCCAACCTCAGTACTGATGTGGCTCGACGATGCTTAACTTCTCAAATCGGACGGGATGAGGTGCATTCATCGTGATATGGCCGTAGCCATCATTGTTATTAAAATATGAAATTTCAATCAAAAGAGATTCGGGACCTAGTAGCAAAAGGACCGTTTTTATCTCCACCGAACAAATGATATTCAAGTAAATGAAATTAATATTTTAATAAATTGTTTTAGGTATTATTTGATCTGGGACGAAAGTGAACGAATTACATTATTTTTGTAATTTGAAATTTAAATACTATTCACAATTTAATAATAGTGAATGAACTTTCTCATTTCATTATAATTTGAATATCTAGAATAATTGATTATCATTGGTTCTAGTCGCCATTTGTGAGAAATGTAATACACAATCAGAATTTGGTTTACCAAAAGGAATTCTTGATTCAATGTTTGTATCAATTACACCAGTTTCGTCCACTTTCACTTGAATATCAAAGAAGAATCTTCTATTAGAAAGTGTCAAAATTAATGGAATAATTACAAATTCACCTTTCTTCAATTCCAAAAGCAAATCTCCTGCAATAGGATTGTGAAAAATCAATTCAAATCTTGTCAATTGATACAAAACTGGATGAGATTCATTAATTTCCAAATTATAGAAATTTGGAGTTGTAAATTCAAATTTGTGAGTTTTTAATTCCAATTCCAAAATTGTTCCACTAATTCTTTGACATAATGTCACATGCTGTTGAAATCTAGTTTCGTCATACAATTGATAGGATTGGAATTTTGATCGCAACAATAAATTTCTGCATTGTAATTTGATTTTTCCATTGGTGATGAAGAAAGGATGTACAGTTGGAAGAGTACTTGCATTCGAAACAAGATCAGTTTCGGCTACCACATTCATGTTGGTAGATGCCACATGTTGAGATGTATTTTGAGCAATATTTTGTACATCTGCTGCAACAGTTTTGCTCACGCTTTCAGATTCATGTGGATTGGTTGAATTATTTGCACTTTGTTGTTGCTCTTGCTCATTATTCGAATGTTGTTGTTGTAACATGTTGCTTGAGGATGTGAATTCTTCGATTTGTGTTTGTTTTGGGATTAGTTGTTGTTGGCGTGGCAGATGATGAACCAGTCCCAACTAAAGAATACGAAACTATTAGCAATGAAAGGGAGTCTTGAATTGATTGTTTTTTTGTGCTCAAATTTGGAAAGTGCAAGATGATGGCTAGACAGCTTTGCTTCTGTTAGCAGCAACGTAACCTTTCGAATAGTATTTTCAAGTAGGAATTTCCAAGCATGTAAGCTGTTGAAACATGTTGTATTCAATCGTTTTTTTATGTGGTTAGAAAAAGAAAGCAGTTCAAACGTGACAATAACTCGTTTCTTTCATCACGTTTTCAATTCGAAACTAAATTCACAAATCTCTCATTGTAATCATTAAACACTATTAAATAATAGTTAAATACTCCAAATTTGGAAACACTCCAAAAATTGCAAATTCGAAAAACCCTTTTATGAAACTTTGAAAACAAAAAAAAATGCTAGACTCCATCTACTCTCTCTTTACCTACGGAAAATCCCTTTTGATTCCCACCCCATCGGAACCAGGATCCACCAATAAGAATGAAAACAATCAACTAGAACAACAATATCCAATTGATAGAATGTCCACCACAAGAAACTTTTCCGACTATCGTTTTGAATATTACTACAATTTAGATGATGATTCGCTCTTTTATAAACGCTCGGGATGGGCTGAATATTGTAATAACAAATTGGGACTTGTTTTTAGATATCCAACAGTGAATAATTTGTGTATTGAAGTGTTGCCTTTGGGTGATGGTGTAATTTCTGTACAACTCAGAGAGAAGGAATCAGAAACAACAACTAATGGGTGCTCCTCCTCCTCCTCCTGATGTCATGAGTGGAATGGTTGGTAAGTTGTTTATTATTATTTGAATTAATTGGGGAGAATTAATGATGTGATTTGTGATTCATATGAAATAGCCACCATGTTTAATATTGAAGATGTTTCTAGTATTGTCCTTCAACAGAATAGTAATACTTCATCTAATGATAATAATAATTCATCCTCTCGTTCCAATATTCTCAATCAGCATCATCAGAAAGAAGAAGAAGAAGAACAAGTGGTGGACATGACAACATTTGGACCAAAGGAGCACTTACTCAATTCATTGAAAAAGTTTGAAGAAAATAATTTTCCTTACAAGGTTTTACAACAACGAGCTGTTAAAATTAATTCAAGAAAGGCATATGAATGTAAATTGGAATTGGAAATGAAAAAGTCTATTCTCAGTAAGCATTTCAAACAATTTGAAAAGAGTGAAAGTGGTGATTCTGTTAAGGTTTTACTTTATTTGGTAGCTTTGAAATCTGATGAAACAAACAAATTCTTCACTCTTCAACACATGACTCCTAATCTTGATTTGGAAAACTTTGAAAATGAAATTGAAAATAACATTTCACACATGGTGAGAAGTATTAAACTTGTGCAGACACAACAAGTTGGTGGATTCACTTTGGAAAGGAAAGATTTGGGAATCTCCATGAAGTTATTGGATGAAGCTTGGCAATGTTGGAAAGTTTCTGAATTAGAACATGATTTTACAGCTCCAACTAGGAAGAGTAAGGCAACAGATAGCTCAACCAAACTCAAAATGGAATCCTTAATTGAACTTCCAAACCATTTGAGGAATGAGAATGTATTGCTCTATCTAGTTTCACAACACTCAAAAGATCAGATTGGAAAGGAGTTTGCTCTCATTGAATGTACCACAGCAGAACAACAAGAAACATTTGAACAAATTCTAGAACATAGAAAGGTTTCCTTGAAGAAATTCGATAACTTTATTGAAATTTCAGAAAGAATCAACTTTGGCGATGAATTGGCATCGGAAGGAATTTTATTTGCCTATATTACTGAATTCGAGTCATCACCAGTTCACTCCTCCAAGCTTCTCCCAACTGATCTTACTCAGTCATTCGAAAGATACAATGCCATAGAGTGCTACTTTACCAGAGACTCCAAGATTTACAAAATATTTTCCAGATCTCACTTTTCACAATCACTTTCTTCCTTCAGAGAAAGTATCATTTCACAATTCAAATGCCTCACATTCAAGCAACCTGAAACAACTACAGATTTATTGGATAATACATTCATGACATTTAAGAGTGAAGAGCACAAGTTTGAGATTCAAGTCCCACTTTTGTATCAAGTTTCTGCTAAGGAATCTCTCGGAAATACTCCAGTTTGCCAATTCTTCTCCAGATACTCCATGCTCAATGTCCTTCACATGTTTGAAACTCAAATCTACTTTGAATTAATTGGACACATTTCCAAGAATGAACACATACTCACAGATGCCACTCAAAGATTGGAAACTCTAAAACAATCTCTCCACTCTCAAATGGTTAGAAATCTTGGAAAGCCAATTCCTTTACGATCAGAGAGCACCTTAGTTTTTAATGATATTGAGGCAAGGCATGTTGTCTTTTCCACACCAATTGGTTCTCCAATTCATCAAAAGAATTTAATTCATGCGCATACCAACTTTTTGTGGGTTTGCCCTTCACCTCAAGCAATACTCAGTCAGTCTAAATCACCTCAATCTGATACTGTATATGTTGTAACTATCAAGTCGAATGTAATGGAGTCATTCTTTACGGAATCTATTGAAAAACTGCTTCAACAGATTCATTCTACTTTCAAACTTGTCAAAGAATAGCTTTGAGATTTAACTCTCAAAGAGATGTGGATTAGTAAAAAGGCTCACTTTTACATTCTACAGTTTTTAACATGTCTCATTAGCTCCTAACCAAATTTACCAAAATAGAAAGTAAGGATCTTTCAGCATGTCCTGAACGCGTTCAAATGAGCCAAAATAGAATGTTTACAATGCCTCTTTGTTACCTTCAAAAAAACTATTTGATCTCATCGAGAGTGAGAGAATCATTCACACTAAAAAAAATCAACTCAACTCTTAAAATGGCCTCTCAAGCAGATCTCGAAATTGTTGCCCAAGGTAACAAGAAATGGATGGAAGTCTTTGCCTCTGAAAAGATTTCACAAGGATTAGGTGATTGTTATCATCATGATGCTCAATTGACTCACTTTGGAACTTTTGGAGCTTTCCATGGCCCACAACCAATTGCTGACTTTTTCCAAAACTTTTTACATGGTCAAGTTGGTGCTAGAAATCCAGTGTTGACTTCACACGTAGTTCAGAGAATTGATGAGAATACAATTTATGAATTGGGTAAAGTAAAGGCAAGTTTGGCTGCTGGTGGTGAAATTGAAGCTCCATACACTGTTGTTTGGACTAAAGGAAGCAATAATGAATATAAGATTAAATATGACACTTTCTAAATAAACAAGAATTATGAAATCTAACATGAGTGAAACCCTGTTCGGTTCTGTAACCAGTGACACTTTGTCGGTTCAGAAAATGGGTCAGCTGATACTTTTTATTTTTTGCATCATTATCGAGCTATTTGATTTGATCCTAAAAAGGAATTGCTTAGACAATACAAGAAACTTAGCTTTATTCGAAACAGTCTTGCTGAGTTCATAGAACACAAAGGGAGATCACGTTTAAGATCACGTTTCGAGGTTAGATTGATTAATTGGTAAACGTGATCCTATACTTATTTTTATTAGAAATTAAAATGAAAAAATTCCAAACTCAACTAATCTTACTTGTTGCAATACTGTGCCTAGTATCATCATGTCACTCTATTCAACAAGAATTAGAAAGGAAAATATCAGCAGTTTCCTTTGAATATTCAACTCAAGATGGTTTCATCTTTAAACAACCAATTCAAACAAAACTCTATCAATCAGTTGACCCGTCCAATAATCCAATAGTTAGTGAAATTGATGGAGTATGCGACCCTCCAAACACATCCACTAATTCTCTTCTCCAACTCTTTACCTCACCATTCGCCTACTACTTTCGAATGAAAGATTATTCAACTTTCTTTGGGCCTGTTTTGTCTCATAAGGAAGTTTGTACTGTAAGGGTTAAAATGGGAATTTCTCAATTACCTGCGAATATTGATAATGCAGAGTACGATTCCTCTTTCTTGGAAGGTTTGAGAGTAATTTCAGATTCGAATAGTGTTTCTAATTTTCAAAGTATTTTCGGTCCGTTTATTGCAACTAACATTCAATACGGAAATAGTGAATTGACCTCCTTTTACAAAAGTCTTCCTGTAGGAATTTACCAAACTCCAATACTGTCCAGTGAATCTCTAATCCCATTCAAACAAGTGAAAAATTCAAATGTTTGGTTTTCAAATGGAAATATTGTAAACTTTACAATTTCAACATTATCAAACTTTGTCAAAGTGAACAATTTAGCTCCCTCCAACGTTATCGCTTCCATTCAAAAGCTAGAAACCGATTCGTTCATTGATCCTTTACAAATTCAATCATTGTATCAATCATCCTATTCCACTAACTTTCCAATTTGTGAAAATTCAAGAATTTTCAATTTAATTGAAGCCAATTTGGATTCTGGATTCATGACCTATGTGATTACTTATGCTTACCAGATGTATGGTGTCACTATTGGTCAAATAAGAAATGGTTTTGAATCTAAGGGAATATTTTCAAATGTCAAATTGACTTCAATTGCTGGATTGTCACTTGACAGAAATCATATTACTGGCATTCCAATATTCAAAGTGAATAGAGCAGCAAGTTCTTCAATTAGAGAATCTTATTTGACCATGGATGAAAGTGAGGCTAAATCCATTTCATCTGATTACTCAATTCTTGGATATTGCTCATCTGTCAGTACTCATCCAGATATGATTCCACTATACAGATTCAATTTTGATAGACATTATTACAGAACTAGCGAGAAGGGAGAGTCAGGTTGGATTATAGAAGGTTTAATGTGTTATGTGTATTCACATATAGTTTCAATTCCATCAGCTCAAATTTGTATTGTAAATTAAAATCTTACTTCAGTAATTATCTCTGTAATTCAACAATTTCAACATTTCACAGATTTACAAAATGTTTTATGACATTGTTCACCATATGTTCCATTAAGATCAATATCGTTTTTGCATCAATTTCAATGGTTCAAATATTTGAGCTGCCTCATTTTGATCAATATTATTCCCGTGAATATCCAAATAATCTAATTCTTCCAAATGTACCAATGATTTGACTCCCTCAATACTAATCTTATTTTCGGACAGGTCAAGCTTTTTTAAAGGTTTCAATTTGTTGACAATAATCTCAACACCATCATTGGAAATTGCATTACATCCTATATAGAGATATGTAAGCTTTTTGAGATGTTGAATATCATTCAATCCATTATCGGATATTCTGTTGCTTGAAACGTTCAAAATGGTCAGTTGCCTCATGAAATTCGAAATTAGTTTTAATCCAGTGTCCTCGATATTGTTTAGTTCAATTTCTAGTAATGTTAAACAGCTTAACGTACATAACTTATCTACGCCAATGCATCCAATAATATTGTTGGATAAACTCAGACTGGTCAATCCAGTTAGTTCAGAAAGTCCTTCTGTTTCATTCTGAATAAAGTTGACGTCCATGGAAAGGGATTTCAACTGCTGCATTTTACGGAGAATACCAACACTACCAGAATATCCCATGCCTCTTAGACCCAGCTCTGTCAAATTAGGCAAAGAACACAGACCAATAAGAGACTGCTGTGGAATAAGATGCCAATAATTACTTAAATCCAGGCTTGTTAATTGCTTCATGGTAGAAATAAGGAGAGGTGTGTTTTCCTCAAAGTCATCATTTTTTTGAAGACTGAGTGCTGTCAAGGATTCCATTGAAGTAATAAATTCAACACCATCATTAGAAATTCCAATTCCATCCGCAATTAATTCATTCAAATTTTTCAAATTGCTAATAAATTTAGCTCCTGTGTCCGCTATGATATTTTGTGAAATATTCAAAGTTATTAAATTTTGTAAAGAACTAATCGATTCAGCTCCAATAGATGTAACTCTATTACAAGGTATTGACAATTTCACAAGTTGATGCATTGAACCAAGTAATACAGCTCCCTTATCACCAACACTTGCACCTGATAGATGTAAATTTTCCAAACTTGTCATTGTACTAATCACTTTTGCTCCATCCTCTCCCAGAAATGAATTATAAATCTTTAAAGTTTTCAATCGTTTCATCTCCTTACTGATAATGTGCAAATAATCACGTGAAAACAAACAATGAGCAAAATCCAACTCTATCATGTTTTTCAAGTAAGAGAGTGGATAGTCAGGATCGAAAAAGTAATCAATATTCGAAACTCTTGAAACATAAAACAAATACATTTCCCTTCCAACATTATTCCACTGTTTGCTAATGAGAAAACAATTTTGAACCACTGGTTGAAAAGTTAAATATTCCATGATTAAAAAACAAATATCATCAGCAAATACATTCAATCTTCTTTCATTGCTTTTAAGAGTTTTCATTTTCTTCTCCTTTTTTTCCATACTACTTTCATCAAAAGGTTGCTTTGAATTTTCTTCTTCCGAAGCTTCACCATCACTCGATTGCTTTCTTTTCATTTTTTTCTGGTTGATCAAAGCCTTAAAATTTGGCGGGAAAATAGTTCTTTCATTTTTGAGTGAATAAACAATTGATTCAAAATCAGATTTTCATTACAAACTCTCTTGATGGTGTCATTATTTTGCCAAGAGACCATTTTGATGTACATCAATATTCGATTGACAGTCAAAACATGAATTTATTGATGTTGAATTCACTTCAAAAATTGGCGCCTAACAAAATTTTTCAACTCAAAAAAAAAACTTAACAACACTCTCTGCATACATAGTTTCGCTTCAGAGTTTCATCCTTTTCCTCTGTATAAACAGTACTCTCAGATTCTGTTGATACCAATAATACGTGTATACTTCTCCGGTTGTGAGACTACAAATAGTAGAAGAGCAAGAGAAGAATTTTTACAAACTCTATTTAAATATATTAATATATATAATAACATAGCCACAACAGACCACATATGATAAATTTAACTCCTAGAAAGGCATCAAGAAACTCTGTTTCTTCCTTTCCATCTCCCGATAGTTTGCCACAACAACAAGAACAAATAGAAGCCATGGCAACACCACAAAGTATTATTAATCCTCCTTCTTCAATTCATCAACAATCATCAGCCTTTGTTACACCTACTTCATCCTCCTTTAATAATGATATCAACAGAGAAGGCACAATGTATAGCCAATTTATGAACACGAATAACGCATCCAATTCACACCATCATCAATATTCCTTCAAACCATCAACAACCTCCTCCTATTTAAAGCCTTTCATGTCTTACTTTTTTGCTCATCGAAAGAATATTCACGATAATCCTTCCAACAAGAAGGGAGAATCCATATGGCCAGAGAGGATTGTTTACATCATTGGTTCCATCATCTTTTTCACACTCTCTTCAGTGATTCTTATTAATGTCCTCAACTTTATGTTTAGACAAAAGACTCTTCCAAAATCATCATCAGCAAAGGATGTGATATATTTTCTAATTGGAGAAGTTTGCACAACACTCCTTTTGGTAGTTATTCGTTTATTCTTTAACCTGGAGAATTCTGATTATGACCCTTCCATTACAAAACACCGACACAAGATTTCACAACATGGAGCTGAAGTAGGAGTTTTATTCGAATATTTCACTTTGGAAGAAAGAGAAATATTGTTCTACTTGTCCAATGTTTCAATCTATCTTATTGGATATGCTACTAATTCATTGTGCTATGCAATTTTATTTGAATTAATTATTGTTCAAGCTGGCTCAAAATATGGATTTTTCAAAAAGGATTTGTTAGGCTTGTGTGTAGTATTGGCCAACATATTTTGCGTATTTTTGGGATGGTTTAATGTGAGAATGAATGATTCTTTGGAAGTTTTTCTCATTTCTTGTTCTGCTGATTCAGTACTTCCAGAGGAAAGTGTCTTTATCCTTCCAAAATTTTCCGTCTTGCACACATTATTCTCATTCATTTGAGGGCTGATGCAAAGAAAGATTCGTACATTGAAATGTTTCTTGTAATGTTTATTGGTATCCTTGGATCAATCATTGTATTCAGAACCTACAATGCCTATATCAGTGCTATGAGGAGACCACCAAAATATATTAATCTTGGAAGACCAATCAGAAGATATCCACAATACCAACAATACCCTCAACAATCAAAAGGACAATTTTTCAATCCATCTCTTTCACCTCAACAACAACAACAACAACAACCAGGATATTACCCTCAACAAGCTCAACCTTTTGGCACACCACAACAAAATCCTTACAACCCATATCAATCACAATATTCACAAATGCAAACTCAACCAGCCTTTAATCCACAACAACAACAACAATTCATCTTTTCCACACCACAATCCGAACAGAAATTATTCTATCCTCCACCACCATCAAACACTAGAATCAATTTTACTCCTCAAAGCATTCCACAAAGATATTGAAAATTTTATTGAATAAAGATTTCACACACAGACATACACACCATTGTAAACATCATCTCTCAGATTCTTTTCGAGAAGGTTATTTCTCCCTCTTCGTAATCTTCACAAAACAGACAAAAACTTGTCCAAAGGAAATTAGAGGAGAATTGAACAGAAAAAAAAAAGCCATCACCCACTTTCCCGCCAAGATTTTTGAAACTCTTGTGCGTACATTAATTGCTGCTTTATATTCATCACATCATCAAATTGTTCATCTCTCACGAGTACATTTTAGTATCATCACTCTACATAAAACACAATCATCTTATCAATTTTAATAGAGAGAATGAATTCGGAAGATTTTCTGATGGATTTCTTCTCCGATCAAACTTCATCAACACCCTCTGCTTCTATGCAATTTGACAATACAATGGAGATGATGAATAATGGAGAGGAGAACAACAACAGCAGTTGTAGTACAAGGCTTGCAGAGGACTCTGATGATGATATTACCATGATGATGATTTCCACAAATTTGGATTCAGTTGAGCAATCCTGTAATGCAGGTGCTGCAGGTGAAGGGGCAATTGAAATGAATTCATGCTCTGCTGCACAATGTAACATGATGGAAAAAGTGGGCAGTTTAGCAGAGCAAGTAAATTCACAGCTGTCACATTCGAATACAGCAGCAAAGGTAGTTCATGAAATTAGTCCTGTGCTATTGGAACAGTCGACAAGTGAAGGATTGAAAAGTGCTTATCGTGGATATAGAAATGCAATTGTAACTGGTGTGAAAATTAGAATTCCATATATTTTACAATCAGTTATTTATGCTCTGATATTTCAAACACCTTCTGAGATTAAGAAAGTTAGATTTGTGATTAAGCAAATGTTTCATCACTCGAAGAATTTGGCCTCATTTGTTGCCATTTACAAATTGATAACATATATTTGCAGAAATTATTTGAATGTGCGGAATGGATTGGATGCTCTGCTGGCAGGTTTTGTTGGTGGAAGTATTGCATTTGGTGAGAGTAAGGGAATTTCTGGAGCTGTCAATAACCAGATAGTTCTATATTTATTTGCGAGAGGAATAGATGGTGGATTAAAAGCACTGGCCACCAAAGGATATATTCCTGAAATTATGGATATATCAACACCGAATGGTTTTCGATTATTTGCAGGATTTTCTCTTGCTTTGGTACTGTATTTGACCGATCATCAACCTAGAGCTCTGAAATCTGGATTCATGTCCACTATGAAATATCTTTATCATGAAAGTAATGATGGAACAATGTCAGTTCCAATCAATTTTGCTCCTTTTGTGACGTTTATTACCATTTGTTTACTACTTGGATATTGGTTCCCTCAATTCAGATTGGAAAATGTGTTACAACGAGTGGATGATGCAATGACTTGGGAGAATATTAAGGAATTCATGAGCTCGTTTTTCTAATGCCCCAAAATCAGTAATAGCATCAATATTTTTCATCCTCTAAAACAGTATAATTTGTAAATAATATTTTGTAATTTATAAACAGTTAGATAATTTATTAGAGAACTATTTGAGATTGATTAATTTTTTGAGAAGTCTTGGTGATTTAACCTTTGTGGATGATTGATTCAATTCCTCGTCAAAATCAAAGGTTGTTTCCTTTGTAGGTGAAAGCATATCTTGGCCATCAATGATGGTATCAAAAACACATTCCAACAAATCTCGAGCAGCTGAGCCATTTGTAGCACTGGTCACTCTGACATCCCTCCACAATTGTGCTCGTCTGTCCTCATCTTTGGCCAAATCAATAAATTGTTTCTGAACAAATTTCATCGAATCTCTATATACATATCCACCAATTTCGTAGAAAAATCTCCATTTTCTCTTTCGAAATTCCCTCTCTTCTGATGAACAAAAAGAGTATGTACTCTGGAGGAAGGACTGATTGGTTGGATCATCATCGCTACTGCTATCACTGAAAATTGCAGAAGTATTGAGTGGATCGCCAATAGTTATCGAAATTGGTTTCTCTCTTGTTGATATTGTAGAGCTGCCAGTATTGAAAATATTACTACCAATTGAAATGGCCTTACTTGACATTGGTGATCTTTCTGTAGATGTGGTGGTAATTGATGAGATGGATGTACAACTATTGAGTGAAGGTAGGAGAGATTTGGAAGAAGAAAGTGGACTCGTATCTTCACTCTTACCTGTTATCCCTGGCTCAAATAAATGATATCGTTCCTTATATAAGAGATCAACTTGTTCTTCATCTATGTCTTTCATCAAACTGTAACACAAAGATCTCCAAACAGTGTCACACGTTGCCACAATATACATTTCATAATTTACAGTACTCAGAACACATAAATCATGTGCATCCAAGTAAAAGCAAATGTAAATTAAAATATCACTCGGTAACTTTTGCCAATTTTCCTGTCTAATCTTGAATTCCTCTTCCTCTGTGAGCATGTGATGATTTTCAACAACAAATCTCGAAGGTGACATTTTAGGAATAAATGATCCAACATTTAACCCATTTTTCTTTTGTTTTTGAATACTGGCACTCCTTGCTCTTTGAAATCGTTCCATAGTTTTTGAATTTTGTGCACTTTCGAATGTACCAGGTATTCTCTTTCTCTTTTGTTGAATGGTATGTCTCCTCTTGGCATCTCCTGCCATTTTGTGAAAGTTTTTAATTGGTTTGTGAAGACGAATGTGTTTTGGTAAATCATCAAATGCTTCACTAATGTCAAAATATTGAATTTTGTGAAGAAAAACATCCTTCTTGTTGAACACTAGAAATATTGGTACATTCTCAAAACATGATGCATTGACAATTTCCTCAAATAAGAGCAAACTTTCCTTCATTCTATTCGATCGATCATCTTCGTAACAAACTTGATTATATTCTGAAAGTGAGACGATGAAAATTATTCCACTTGTTGCTCCAAATAAGTGAACCCACTTTTTACGTTCATTCCTCTGGCCACCTATTATGATAAATAAATATTTAATATTAGTTCAAAGCTTATTTCAATACATATATTCTTTAAAAAAACCTACCTGTATCAAAAACTCTAATTCTATTATTTCTATAAATGCACTCTGTTTCAACAATACCAGTTGTTTTCACATATGATGACATGACATGCTTTGTTTTTGGCATTGAATATATATGATCCATCTGTTTCACCAAGTCAGGTAAACAATTTTTGCATTCTCGTTATGAAATGTTCATCAACAATCCTCAGAATATGAATAAAATCCTCACAATCCAATCTAAGAACACTATTTGCAAATTCCTCATTCTCAATCTTGTTTAATTTCTCATCTGGAAACATACTCGAAAGTGCTCTCAGTACAAACTGTACCATTTGCACGATATTCGAAAGGATTACTTCACGATAAGATAAATATTCATCATTATCAAATCCTCCATTGAATAGTAATTTAACATTCTTGAAAAGCGTACTCTTCCTATAAGTTCCAATAAAAACAATTTCCAATATCATTATTCGAATTATATTGATCACCATTCATAAATCAAACATAGTACATCTTGTTAGAAACATGCCTAAATTTCAACAAACTACTCACCCAACACCTCCTGTCCCCAACATGATCACTCGTTGTTGTGGTAAATTTAAAACATTTGATCCGCCATTCGAATCTCCCAATCCTTTCAATAATTTAGAAGATGAAGACTTTTTAGAAAGCATGGAACGTGATGATGATTTTCTCAGCGAAGATGATGACGAAGATGTACTCTGACCCATTTTCTATTTCCTATCTTTCTCTTTTTACAGTAATTATTATTATTAGTAGCAATATATCGAATATCTATATCACTTATATGATATGATTCTGATGAGGTTGATGATGATTATTAATAATAGAATTTGATGATGATAAGAGTTTCGATTTTTTGTTTTATGAGAAGGCGGTCAAGTATTCTCCGCGCTTCTTTTTTTTCTGAATTTTTTGCTTTGGTGCTTTTTCAGTGAGGAGTTTTTCAAAGGGAAGAAAAAGATAAACTAGTGCACTACTTGAATAATATATTATTGAAATATTGTATGCTTGGTTCTTGTAAGTGATGTTGCTAGTGGTTGTGAGTAGTGCCTGATGTTGTTTTTTATTGGAAAAGGAAATGGCAATACCTTGTTGTTATAATTGATGCCAAAAAGGATCCACTCAGTGATAATAATAATATTTATCTAAACAAGCAACTGCTGAACACTCTCAACTTGTGAATATGGTGTTGTAGATGATGATGATAATGAAGATGTAGTTAAAGAGAGAGAAATAGTTTTTTTTTCAAAGTGTCATCTCTCATACCAGAAACATCAAGAATCTCCTCCAAGAGTTTTTGTGTTAGAAAACCAAAAGTGAAACCTTGCATTTCAGCTTGGTTACTGGCAGCTAAATGGTTCATATTTGGATGCTTACCACATGTGTAATCACTTGACAAATTTAAACATCCTCCTTTGAAATGGTGATAGCAGTAGTATCTCATCAATAATGTTATCTTAGCAGTTTTGGTAATAACTGGTTTCGTAATAATAATATCTAGTAGCTATTCATCATAACTATTCCTCTTCTGAATTTCTTAACAGTAGTAAACGATCTTGGATTTCACGTTCCTTCTTGTCAATACTTCTCTCGAATAATTGTGGACAAACTTCAACCAACCAATCTGATTCAATAGTTGTTACATCTCTCATGAATACTTTGGTTGTAAATAAAAGTTCTGTAAATATTACAAACTCTGGCGGATATTTAAAAAGGACGCTATTAGGATGGATGTAATAAATATCATTGCCTCGTACGGATTTATAGGAACCATCTGATTGTCTTTGTGCTGCATTGGAAAAGTAACCAGATATTAAACATTTTCTAATAGTATCAATAGGTGGGTCAATATTGCCGTAGCCCACATTTGAATCCATAATTGATTTGATAGGAATGGAGAATCGTTTGAGTAGTTTTTCAAATTGATGGATAAATTGTTCAACTCTTTGCATGGATTTGTAAGTAATACAATTGTCATAGCACCATTTGCTAGATTTGTTGTTTTTGAGATAGGACATGTAAATGTTAAGGTATGTCAAATGGTCACCTTCCATAACAGAGAATTTCCTTTTTACATACTCAACCCTATCTTGGAGTTGTCTGGAGGTTACAAAAACATTTCTCACACTGGTCATGGCACAAATAATGAGCATCTCTTGAGAGCAATTCATATTACCAGAGTGTAGCAGAATTTTAGAAACGAATGGGTCAGTCGGGAATTCAGCCATTTGTAAACCCAGAGGATTTGTCAATTGACATGAATCATCAAGAGCACCGAGTGCATAAAGAGTTTCCAATGATTGGGCCATATGACTAGATGGTGGAGAAGAAAGAAAATCAAAGAATACCAAATTATCAATTCCTAATGCCTTCATCTGGAGAATGATATCTGAGAGATTGGATTTTTGAATTTCTGGAATGGTATTTTCCTTAAGCTTTTCATAATCTTGTTCAGTATAGAGACGAAAGCATTTACCATTCATCACTCGTCCTGCTCTTCCAGCACGTTGTCGTGCTGATGATTTGCTAATTTCTGTCACTACTAGACAATCCCTGTTGGAACGATAATCATAAATTCTCTCCTTTACAAATCCACAATCAACTACAAATCTCAGAGAAGGAATAGTAATCGATGTCTCTGCAATATTAGTTGAAATAATGACCTTTCTCTTATCCTTTACAGTATCAAATATTTTCATTTGCTCTTCCAAGGATAATCCTGCGTAGAGAGGTAATACGAGCATGTTATCTTTTTTTGCTTCGAATAGAGAATCTTCAATAAGGGATACCAGCTCTTCAATTTCTTGTTGGCCTGTCAGAAAGACCAACACATCTCCAGATTCTATTGGTTCACTATTATGAATGTTCAAGACGCATTGTAAGCTGGAACGAACATAATCTGAGATTGGTTTCTGAATGTAGTAAATATCGACTGGATAGGTTCTCCCTTCAATACTCATAATGTAACAACTCAGATTCAATTGGGGAACATTGAAAAATTTGTAAAAATCCTCAGCATCGAGAGTGGCACTCGAAATTATGAGTCTTAGTTCAGGGCGCTTCTGTAGGACCTTCTTTAAAAGTCCTAACAAGATATCTGTCTTGGTACTCCTTTCATGGACTTCATCAACTATTATGACAGAATAATCGGTCAATAGAGGGTCCACCAACATTTCTCTCAATAACATTCCATCAGTCATGTATTTAATCCTTGTAAATTCTGAATATTTTGCATCGAATTGAACACAATATCCGACCAACCCTCCAAGTTCACCATGTGCATTTTCACTTGTTAATATTCCACTCCTAGTTGAAATTCCAAAACTATTACTTGCAGCAGAGGAAGAAGAGGAATTAGGAAATGATTCCCTCTTCTCCTCAAACACTCTCTTAGCAGCACTAATTGCTGAAATCCTTCTCGGTTGTGTACAACAAATAGATTGTCCATTAGAGCACCATCCACTCTCATACAAATATTGAGGAATTTGTGTCGTTTTTCCACTGGCAGTCTCTGCACTCACAATCAACACATTGTAATTTTCCAACAAGTACAACATGGAATTCCTAAATTTATGAATAGGTAATTGTCTTCTCTGTTCATCCAATGATAACTTCCGATGAGGATTATAAACAAATTCCATAACCTCCTGATTTTCATTCCGATCAATAATTGAATCTCGAAACTCTTCATGTGTAGAATTTCGGATGGCTTCTGGCGCTTGTTGTCCAGGTTTCCAAAATCCACCACTTTTACTAGGCACCGACCGAGAGGATGATGCTTCCGCTGGTTTAAGCATTTTTTTTAATAAAATTTAAAATTTTAAATATTTAATGTATTTAATTGTTAACGGTAATAATAATTTATTGAACATGTAGAAAATCGATTACTTTTTCTTTTTCACATTTTCATTCTTTGAACTACAGCTGGAATTACCTCTCTTTTTGGTTGTTGAGGAATTTTTCTTTTCATTAATTGATGAGGATTCGCTTGGATAATTGACAGTTCTAAAGGTGAGTGAAATTCTTCGATCTCCCTCCAATAGGTTAGGTTCAATTCCATGTTTAAATGATTTTCTGGAAGATCCAGTCATCAGATATAAGGAACGAGCTGGTAATTTAACTTGATGTTTTATATCCTTTTTTGTAAAGGTAAATGTTGAATCACATTCAAGTGAAAGTCCAAAAATGATTTCCTTGTAAGTTTTACGGTGGTCAAAGTGTTGGTCCAGAGAATCATCTGGCTTGTATTCGTTCACAAATATTTCAGTAAACTTGTCATCTCCTAAATAAGATTCATATTGAGATAGATCAATTTTTGGAACATGTGTGGCAGTTCTTTCGAGAATTGTGGTACATAAATCTTTCAAAAATTGAGGAAGTGGTGTAATTTCATCAGGAATGATATTGTACTTCTTGTCATGTTTTGGTCCATAAATTTGAATTCTTCTCTTTTTCGATCTGTTAAGAAACCAGAGCTGTTTCTCCAAGTTTTCGACAAGACTTGAAGCTTCTTCTGGGGTGAGAATGTCCTTGATAAGATAGAGTCCTTTAACTGTTGTTTCCATTTTTTGTTTGTGTTTTTCAATTCAAAAGGCGACTAGAATTTAAGTATTTTTAGTAGAAAAGTTCATCATCACAAACAAAACACTTTGAAGTTCTAGCAAACATTAGAACTCATAGTTATTAATTTCAAAAGAAACTTAAATGGATGAAGTTTGTTATAAACTATTTATTCATAAACTTCTGCAAATTCAGTTGCACTTCTACCAAATATTTCAGGGCTATACATTTCCTCAGCTTTTACACCTGGAATAACAAATGAGCCAATAGATGTAGCTCTGGCAAGGTAGGTAAACTCATGAGTACCTTCCCATAATAATGAACTGAATGCTTCCACTCTTTCATCTCTAATATTATGATGCTCGTACCAGATTGGATTCCACCAACACCACCAACGTCTTGTTCCTCTATTATTATTGGATCCAGTTCCACTAACACTAGCAATAGCTGGGGTTCCTTTCAATTCTGGATTGATTGGTTCGAGACCAGCTGGTAAAAAGTCAACTAGAGCAACATGATATCTACGACTAGTATTTGTCATTCTCAACTTGATACGAACCAATTCTCCTGCCTTAAATCTCCAACTATTCTTTTCCTTATCAAATGTAACATGAGAAGGATTAGTGACGTGCTCATAACTTCTTTGAACTTCGAAACCGTAATCCAAAGCGTCAACAAGTAAATTCTTTGGAGCATAATCCATACCAATTCTATAGTATAATCTTCCTTCCCTTGNAATGTTTGTTCTCCACAATAATCTTCTCCAAGCCATGCGTTAACAACAAAATCTGGGGTAACTCCTTCAAAGACATTAAAGTAGGTATTGAGAGCAAGGAGAATGAAAACGTTTTCCTGAGTATTACCCCATCTTCCCTTCTTCTTGTGAGCCAACAATCCCTTAACAATTTTTGGAATGAGGTGTGATTTTGGAGAGATATTGATGAATGCTTCCAAACAAATACCGTCGGTTCTTCTATCACTGTGCAACATGATATGCTTGGTGGCCATTACATCTCCATAACTGGTGATAAAGTTTGCTGTTTGAGCAGTTTCATTAGCATTCTTATCCAAGTGTGTCATAATTTCTGAAACTGTGCTTGTTTCTTTCTTACCACTTGCAAGATAAATAGCAGTAGCTATCCATGCAAGATATTCCATATTTCCTTGGAGTTTCTTTTCCTTATAGAGAGTTTCAGCTAATGACTTGGCATCAGATTCACCCAACAAGGCCAAAACATAGTAAGCATAAGCTTTGATGGATCTCAAAGATTCTGGAGAATAATCAGTACAGTATCTTTCAATAGTTTTGAGGACTGGAATGAGTTTGGACATCATTGGTGCATTCAATGTGTAACCAGCAATTTTACAACGAGCCATGGCGTGACCAACATGGCAAGTAACGTAAGGAGACACCTCATAATAGCTAGAGTAGGACCAATAGCCAAAACCACCATTAGGGAATTGTCTTGAAGCCAATGTAGAGAAATATCCATTGATTTTAGTGTCAATAGCATCTTTGGTTGGTATCTCTGGAACTTGGAAGGCATACAAAATATCCTTGAGGGCAACAATTGACAATATTCTACTAGAAATTTGTTCACAACATTCAAATGGATAGTTATACAAATAGAGGAAAGTGTCAGTGAGTGATGACAAGGCAGTAGAAGAAGTTGTAATCTTGAGACCACCAAATTGTGGGAAAACATTTTGAGGAGCCTTTACAGGTTGGAAAACTGAAGAATCTCCATCCATTTCACCATAAGTTGCAAATGCCTCAGTAGTAGCTGGTGTGAAAACTCTAATCTCCTTTTCTACAGCATCGGCAAAATTAATGCCAGGTGTAGCAATGGAAACACCAACTTGGAATCTGGCAATACCAACACGATCTGTTGACATTGGGAATCTCAATTCGGCTCTTCCCATAGCAGGTACTTTGACCCTCAAACCCTTCTTTGAAGAATCCAAAAGAGCCAAGTTTGTGAAGTTAATAGCAGCATTGACAACAACATCAATTGGGACTTGACTTTGTAAAACACATGTAAATTCAGCTCTGTCACCAAAGTTAAGGAATCTTGGAAGGGATGGTCTGATTGCCAATGGAAGTTGAGCCACCATAGATGATTCATGAATTCCAAAACATGAATCTCCTTTGATTGCAACAGCTGTAATTCTATACTTGGTCAAATTGTCAGGAAGTTTGAATGAAACAGTTGCTTTACCATGGACATCAGTTACGCTCTTTGGACTGAAAACTGCAAGAGGATTAAAGTTAGATCTGACAGAAATTGCTGAATCTTCTGGTTGGTCTTCCTCGCCCTGGGAAGATGCATCTTTACATTTACCACCTCTAGCACAGCATTTACGACAGCACTTACAACATTCCCTGTCACAACAGCCAGAACAAGAAGCACTAGCACAACAAAGCAGTTCTGGTTGATCTCCTTCGAATACAACTGAATCATAACTCTTTACAAAAAGGTAGCTTCTCAATGAGTATGGATTAAGAACTGGATAATTTCTACGAGTAAATGTATTAAGAGGATTAGAAATAGAATATCCTGTCAAGGAGAGAACAGCTTCATCAACTGCCACAATGCAGACTTCAGAATTTTGAATTGGTTCACCAGTGATTGGATCCTTAACAAGTACATCAATGAAACTTTCTGCTCCTGGAGTTAAATATTCCTTCTCAGGTTTGGTCTCAACAGTTAAGGTTCTAGTGATGTTGGAAACAGAAATTTCACATTGACCAGAAGCATATGCAGGCTGTTTTGGCAAATTAGTAAGAACGGTACCCACTGCATCAACTCTTGATTGACTTCCTGCAACTTCAACACTAACATAAATATTAGGAATGCAATTTTTGGTAATGTCAATCTCAATTTCAGTACAACCGTCTTCTGGATCAATAGTTATTGGAATATGTTTGATCACATCGTCAAGTGATACAAGTGCAACACCTTCACATTTTCCATCAAGGTTAGATTGAATAAGAAGTTTAGCCTTATCACCAACTTGATATTCAGTCTTGTCTTTAATGATGAGAAGGGTGTCCTTAGAAATTCTCTTGCCAACCTTTTCATCTCTTGTGGAACCACCTGTAATATACAAGTTAGTTCTTGATGAATTTGTAAGCCCAGTTTCAGGATCAACAATTTCGACTTTGAATGAATAACTGCCACCTTTTTCAAATTTAACAGGTACTTCAACTGGTCCGTCTTTAGATGAGGTCAAAATTTGTTCAAAAACTTGCACGGTTTCATCTACAAACCTGAATCCCTTCTTTACACTAACAGATGTGGTAGCTGTCAATTTCATTTGAATACCAGAGACTAAATTACCATCGACATCAGATGTAACAAGGGATGCAGTTACAGGAATATTAGGTTTAACAAATTGTTTGCTAAATTTGATACCACAATAATACTTGCAAGGATGGACAAGGAATGAAGTACTCGAAGAGATTGTTTGTCTGTTAATATCTTGAACAGTAGATTCTATTGAGATAGTTACTGGTACCTTGTTAGGTCTTGCAGACTCTGTAAAAGAAATAGCAATTTGATGTTCTCCGTTACCGTCTGTGGTACCTTCAAATGTGGTACTTCCTAAAACAGAGCCAGTACTACTACCGAATCTTCTCATTCTATAAAATCCCATGTATGGATCATTACCTTCTCCAAAAGTATAGGCGTGTTGGTTAGGAGGAGTATATGATGCAGACGTTTGCTTGATGGTATAATTGCATTTTCCACCACAAATACCTCCACCAGAGTAGTATTCAGCCTTGGTAGTGCATACAGCAGAATTTCCATTCACAATATAATTACCAGCAGGAACGGAAGATGATGATTTGAATTCTGGAGTTCTGAATTCTTGTACCTTGAAGGAATGTGAGGTTGAGAAAGCAGTGAATGTAATGATATGATCTCCCAAGTTAGCATTATCAGGAACCTTAAAAGTAAAATCAAAGGTTCCAAGTTTTGAAATTTCAATATCTCCCTCACAATATTTTTGACCTCTGGCATCATGGACTGTATAGTGTGTTGTTTGTTCAGAAGGAAGAACGACAATAGGTCCAGAGTCTTGCAATTTGAACTTTCTGACGATACCCTTGATGGAAACAGTTTCATTAGGCTTGTACAATCCTCTATCGTTGTAAATATGAGCAACGGTATCTGTACTAAATTTTGAAGTGTATAGTCCAACATCTGGAATGAAACAAGAATCATTACCATGCTTGGCAATCAATTTGGAAGTACCTGCATGAACCTTATATTTTCCAATACCAGTCTCAGCGTCAGGAGTAACATGTGCATTTACCTTGATGAATTCCACATCTTTCTTAATAATACTACCATCGCTCAATGAGTTAATCCAGAAATATAAATGAGATGAATGAGAATCATATGAACAATCAAGGGCGATCTTTGTAGATTGTATCCATGCACAGTATGTTGGACGATAGTCCCAATTTCCTTTCCAACTAGTTTTAGTTGGCTCAACAAAAACCATCAAGTGACCCAGATTTTCATTAGGGAATTGAAGATATTGTGAGAGGTCTACCTGTGTTTCACATGGTTCATCTTTCTCTCCACTGATTGTCAAGGTAGTGTCTAAAACCATTTTTCCTGGGAATTTGTAACTATTGTTATAGGCACTATAGTTAAGAGTTTCACCAGAATAGATTTGAGGTTCTACTTGACAAACTTTAAATTGTACAGAGTCCATATTTACAGTAACAAAAGAATAGGTTGGTTTGGTGTTCAAGGTTGGATCGAGTACCATTACACCAGTACCAAAAGCTTGTAAACTTTGACGAGCACTTCCAACTTGAAATTCAACAACTGTATCAGGAAGAGTTTGTCCCCAAACATCTACAATACCCTTAAGGAAAAACTTATAGGTTGTTCTACCCTTTGATTTGCCTCTGATTGTCAAATAAGTTCCACTTGGATTCAATTCCATGTTTTCCAATAATGGTGAAACAGTAACCATAGACTCTAAAAGCTTATCAACATCAATAGAATTGGAGAAGATAATAGTGAAAGGCTCCATTGGAGTTGAACCACCAGATGAACGATCTTTTCTAAATTCAGGATAAGTGTATACATGAATTACTGAATCTTTCAATGATGGAAGAGGGCCTTCTGTACCAACAACTCCCTTATTAATTGTAATATCAAAAGAAGCTCCAATAGAAACTGGATTATTTTGGAAATCAAAAGTAAACCACAAATGTCTAGATTCAGGAGCTGAAGAAAGTTTGGAAAGATAAGAGTTATACATGGATGAATGTTTCTTTTTCAAATTATAATCTTCCATCATTTTCTTAACTTGATCTTGAAGGAGTGAATTTGAGGATTTTCCATCGAAAATCAAACTAGCCTTACGACCTGGAGTGGAAATAAATGGTAATACAGCACTTGGGTCAATCTCTTGATCAAACTCGGCATAAAATACAGGGAATTCATTAACTGGCATTGAGTGGCTATTTGGCAAATACTCTTTAACATAAAGTCTTGGTGTTTCGAATGTAAAAGAAAAATCTGATTTCAATGTGCCCCCATTTTGTGAGCTAGTTCCTTTCTTGACAGTAACTGTATACTTTGTAGACATGTCAAATCTATAGTTGGCTTCATAGACTAATGTTTTGGAACCCAACCACTTGAATTTACCTCCCTTTTTTGGGAGTGGTGAAACAATAACAGGAACTGTCTCACTTTCAACACTATCAATGCTGGATACAGCAACCATTGGTTGAGAGAAGGTAATTGTAATGGATGGAACAGATCTATCTAATTCTCCTTCTGGTGAATATCTCAAAATGGTCAAATCAGAACCTGAAAGCTGGGCTTCTTCTTCCTTCAATTCTTGTGGTTTCTCCAATTTAACTTGAGGTGGAAATTCAACTTGAATAGAGTCAGCTGTCACTGGTGCCTTTAAAGATTTTTCTCTACATTTACAAATATCATTTCAATCACAAAATCCATCAATTGTAAAACTACTTACCTCATGAAGAAATCTTTTTGATCAGTGTCATCACTCTTAATTGCTGGTAATCTATTCAATAATCTGTTAGTTTCCTCCTCTGATAACTCCTCAATGGAGCATAATTTTGCTCCCGATTCTTCTTCTGATGATGATGCTGATAAATTTTCCAACAAAAGGGCTGCTCTACTATCCTCCAAAGTTGGTTCTCTCACCTGCAAATTGATTTGATCATAGGTATTAACTGATGGTACCAAGCCAGTTGGCAATGTAACTGGGCGTCTTGATAGAAGTCTCATGTTATTTGATGATGATCAGATTAAAGTTTTTTTAAAATAAATTGCTGGTGTTGTTTTTTCTATTTTTTTTTGATGATAACTTTTCGATTTTTGTGGCCATTTAAATGTTGTAACTGGCAGCTCATGAACTTTATTCCTTGGAACTCCTTTTGTGTTATCTTGTGTAATATTGAGTTTTTGTAATTAAATATTTTATACAGTGTAACCATTAAGAAAGGTTACCAAGGAAGAGACTACTAGGGCAAAAGGGAAGGGCAAAGGATGCAGACCTTTAAGATTTGGACAGGAAAGTGTTCACCAGTTGACCATTTAATTGTGAACTGGAGAGGTTTGGTTCGAATAATTGTCTTGTTGAGGGATGGAGCATCTTGAAGGTTTCTTCACTAATATGCAATTGATTCATTCTACCATTTGCCTCAATAGAATTACACAGAGAAACTCCCTCACCAAACAAATCAAAACTTTGCTTGAACTTTCCAACAACTGCTGCTGTAATATTGGTAGAGGTGTGAATTCCAATTCGGACACCAATCTTGTTAGGATAGTTCCCTCCACCCAGAAATGCTCTCTTTTCATTGAATTTCTCAATGGATTTAATCATTTCAAAGCCACACTTAACACATTGCTCTGCATGTTTCGGTTCGTCATAGGATGAGCTATGATAAAGACCACCAGCTAGGAAATAGCAATCTCCAATGGTTTTAATCTTTTCCAGCTTGTTGGAGGAGCATAAATCATCAAAGTTTTCGAATATATCATGGAGCATCTTGATAACACTTGTTGGATTCATGTCACTAGTCAATTTGGTAAATCCAACAATGTCACAATAGAGCAATGTACAACATACAATAGAGTCAATAACTTTCAGACCCATTGAAAGTCTTTGTGCAATGTTTTTAGGGAAAATTCGATCCGTTATTCTGGTCAATTGTTCCTCTTTCGTTGCAACCATTCCAGTATCTCTAATGAATCCAATAAAGTGAGATTTTTGACTTTTTGGATCAATTACTTCTGAAATTCTGGTTTCTATTGAGAGAATTCGTCCACATTTCCCTTCTGCTTTGAGGAACCTTACACTGTCAATTACTTTTTTCTGACCAGTTCTCATGTATCTCTCTAAATAGTAATCGTGCTTTCTTCTATCTGAAGAGTTGCAAAGCATTTTAATGTTTTTACCGAGAACTTCATATTTCTGATAGCCAAAAACATTCACAGCCGAATGATTAAAAACCTGAATGATTCCTTCCTGGGTAATAGCAATGATTGGAATGACTGAAAGTTCAGTAATTGAATCACAAATAGTCTTGTTTTTCATAAGTTTCTCATCTTCTTCACTTGTTTTACATTGTTGAATGTAGAGACAGTAATGAATCGTGCCAGTTTTTTTAACGGTGACAACTTTACCGTGACAAGGGAATGATTTCTTGAGTACGTTTGAATAGCATGTGAGTTTTAAATCTCTTACCAAAAGCTTTCGTCTTCTTCTCGATCGTTCCTCTTTCCTTGCAATTGAATATGGCAATCCATGAGAGGCACAATGAGTTTCTGTTATATCCCAAGAATTCAATGAACCAGTAAATCTTTCAATTTCCATCTGAATGTCCATAATTGACTGCTCATCCACATACTTTGAAAGATTTTCGCCTAGAGCCACAAATGAATGAATTCCAAATAATTTCTCAGATTCTGGATTTAAATACTCGATTTCAAACTTCTCATTGAATATAATGATAGGAAATCCACACAACATCATTTGATCTATGGCAGAATTCAACTCCTCAGATTCTTCCTGCATGAGTGGTGCGTCATTTTCAGTATATCCATTCATTACACTTCCATACACTTGCAAATCACTCACCAAATCGAATGCATCATGTGTATAATCAATTGCTTGTTCAGACTCTGCTTCTGTCTCACCTTCACAATATTCTGATTCGATTGTTTGTCCAAAATTAGCAAGACCGTTCAGTAAATTATTAGAGCTTTGCAATCCTTTGAGAAGCCTGGACGAAAGTCCCTTCTTGAATCCTGCAGCCCTTTTCAGTGTTTGCATTCCTTGCTCTCTACTCTGAACAGAGAGAAAACTTGCTCCACTTCTAGCAGAAGATTGGGCACTTTCACAACCCATATCTGTAGAGTTTAAATCAAGAAAGAGTGAGTTTTTCAATTCACCTGGTTTAAGGCAAATGGAGGCACTTGCAACAGCCATAGTTGAGTATTGTCTTCCGAGTTGAGTAGGTGGTTTTAGGACTTTTCTTTTAGGAAAAAGAAGTGGTTCCTCTACTCCATACGTACTTGTAGCATCTCCATTATATTCTGAAGTTTCGCATGAAGATACAGAAATTGCAGAATCATCGTCATCATCATTAAGAGAAATTGAAAAGCCAGAAGGTTTCGTAATAATGGTTGGACGACTGTAGGAGAAAGTCTGATACTCCAAGTCACCAGAAATTGATTCTTGCTCCTCAACAAGCATTCGTTTCTTCATGATCAATTATTGATGTTTTGAGGTTTTTTTAATAATACCGAATGACATTATCTGAAGTTTTTAAAAGTGGTGGCATGCAGATCTTCCTCAGATAGATATTTTTGCAGAAAGAGATAAGCAGGAAATTTTAATTACCCTTTTATATTAAAGTGAGGTTTCTTTTTGACTTTTTGTATTCTTAATCATGCCAGATCGTGAGATGAAAATTTTAAGGATTTGGCAATTATTGAAAAAAGACTTGATGTTATTTGACAAGATTTCAAAGTTGGCTCAATGGTTCAGCTAATTATCAAAGATTGTTGTTTGATTTCTTGTGTTGTTTCAAAATAAAGCACTTTAAAACACAAAAAAGTTGTTTTGCCAAATTGCTTAAAATCATGTGCGAAGCCAATCTCCAGACGTGGCATAGAATAAACCTTACTACTTGTTTGAATATTGGACTTGTCTTGGTAGAATCATATTAAAACGAAAGAAGTATTTGATTATGATTAAATTTATTGCATTTTGGATGAAAGTAAAATGAATTGTTGGATAGTTTGGCTAACATCACCACCATTTTGTTCAAGAATATCAACAAGGGCTCTTTCATTAGTCATGCCCATATTGCTCAAAACGTCAAGTTGGAATTGATATTTTTCTTTAAGGGCATTGAATCTTTCATCTTCAAAGTCTTCTTCATCACTATCCTCATCATCACTATCGAATTCCCTAATATCATCAATCTTGAGATCTCTAACTTGTTGAATAGTTTGATCGACAGATTGTTGTTGTTGTTGTGGAGCTTCAGCAACTGGCAATGGATGAACAACTAAATCTAACCAGAAAGTATGTCCAAATTGAATATCACCAGAACACAATTTGAAATATCCCTTAAGTGGGCCAAGTTTTCTTGGAATAAAAGTAACAGATACGTCCACTGATTGATTTGGACTAGCAACTGGAACATTAGAAGAAACAATTTGGAAAGGAAGAGCCTTGGAATCTCTACAATGTAATTGAACATTGGATGGCCAATTGGTTGAGCCAGGGTTGACAATCTTCCAAGTTTTGGTAATTTCTTGATTAATATAAACTGATGATCCATCAGGCAAGTTGACATCAGAGGAAAATCTGGCAACAAAAGGAGTAGGTTGTTGAGAGGTATTAAGAGCTACAAAACCCATAGAGTCTTCCATTACTGTAGCTGTGGTTGGATGAGTAGGTTGTTGTTGGGTTGTAACAGAAGAAGGTTGAATTAGAACAGGTTGAGGAGAACTTGATTTTGGTTGAATTGGTTGAGTTGGTTGGATTGGTGATTCAGGTTGTTTCTGTGGTGAGGATGGTTTTTGTGGAGTTATTGGTTGTGGTTGAATGGTTGCTGTTGGAGGTGTGGTAATTGGGATTTCCTTCTTTACTGGTTGTGTTGGTTGTTCCTTCTTCTTTGGAATAACCTTCTCCTTCAAAGTAACTTGCATACATGGTGTAGAGAAGGACTTTTTAGCATAGTTCCATTCATCTTCACTTGTTGTAACGATCAAATCATCTTCATTGTCTTTGTATTGAACAAGGTGAGTGGTAATATCGATATTTAATTGGAATGCTTTGGAAACTTGTTGATAAAATTCAATCAATGTACAAGATGATGGCACGGAAAATCTTCTAATTGTATCATTGAGTTTGACTTTAACGGACAGTTGTTGAAAGACTCCATAGTTATTGTACATGATTTGTTGTGGATGAAACATTTTCAATGATGATCGGTTGTTTTTCTTCGTTTGCTGCTTTTCACGTTTGTTTGCAATATTTGTCTCTTATCGGTTCAATCAAATAATAATTAAAATTGCTTTGGATCAAAATGAAGAAACGTGATGGCAGTTTTTTTCTTGTTGTGTTCTATTTTAATCCTCATACGTGATGCTGAGAAGAATTCCTTTCGAGGTTCATTGTGTTATTGGATTTAAATTAGAAGGTTACACATTTCCCTTCTCAACGTAAATCAATTCCTTCATATTTTGAAGATAAAACATTCAAATTCTCCAATCAAATTGATTTACAAGATGGATCATCAACATTAAATATTGTTTTACCTCTAGAAAATGCTGGAAATGAAAAAAATTAAAAAATATTTCATCACCAGCTATCGCATCATTCGTTTTCAAACTCTCTAATTTATTTAAAATTAATATTAAATAATTAATTGATTATTAGATAATGCCTCCTCGTAAGAAAGTAGAACAACAAACAAGTTCTTTTGCTTGTCTTGAAAATATTTCGGAACATGAAATTCAACAAATTGCTGTTAAAAAGAGGAGAGGACGGCCAAAAACAAAGCCTTCTATTTATGCCGATTTTCCAATTGCTGATTGTATGGGAAGAAATTGGATTTTGAGTAATGAAAGTGAATTGAGAAGCAAAGTAGATTCATTCCGATTAGTGTGTTATAATATGCTTTGTCAAGACTATGCAAAGAAACCATACTTTCCACACTTGTCGGATACCACTGAAATTTTGAGTTGGATTAATAGAAAGCATAGATTATTGGATGAATTTTTAAGCTATCATGCTGATATTATTTGTTTACAAGAAGTTGATAGATATGGTGATCATTGGAGGGAAAGATTATTAAAGAATGGATATGAATCAACTTATACTCAAAGAACAGGTGGTAAACCTGATGGTTGTGCCACATTTTGGAAGAGTGAAAAGTTTGAAAGTATTAGAAATATACCAATTTTATTCAATGATGTAGCAAGACAAATTACGAAAAATAGTGAATTGGAAACTCATGAAAAGTGTGATTTGAATGGAAATGTAGTGACCAGTTCTAATTCAATTTCCAAGTTTCTGACTAATAATGTGGCTAATCTAACACTCCTCAAACATAGATCAAGTGAAAAGTTGGTTTGCGTTGTGAATTTACACTTGTTTTGGGATCCTTCATTCCCTGAAGTTAAATTATGCCAAATATTTTACACTATGAAACAGACAAAGGATTATCTCACTTCCCTATCACTTGAGGATATTCAAATATTCTTTTGTGGTGATTACAACTCAATGCCAGATAGTGAAGTTTATGAATTTTTAACAAAAGGTCAGACCTTTATTCCAGGACACTTGATTCCATTTTATGCAGACTCTGACTTTAAAGATAGTATTTCTCTAGTTGAGTGTGAGAATGATGATGGTGAAAAAACTTTCAAACACCAAATTACCAATCCATTTGGGACTGCAACGAGTTTATACAAAGCTGTATGTGGAGATGAACCAACATTCACCAATTATACCAAAAATTTTAAGGGATGTTTGGATTATGTGATGGCTTGTAATTATCCTACCAGTGGTGAAGAAAAGGGTATTCTTGTCAGTCGAGCATTACAAATACTCACAGAAGAGCAAGCATCTGAGTTTGAAGCTCTTCCTTCGATCAAGAATGCCTCAGATCACATTTCCCATGCATTCGATTTTGACATTATGAAACTATAAATCAACTCATACCAAGACCCTCTCTTCACTAATTTGTACAGAATTCATTGAATGAACATCTGTTGCTGTATCAATATTGAGATAAATATTGGTATTAGTGTCAGAGGCACGAATGGTTCCATTATTTTCAACTCTTGAAATTTCAAATTGTGGAGGTGGTTCATTCATTGAAATTAAATGAAGTTTTTGAGTCTTTCCACCTTCAATTTCACAAGTTCCTAGAAATCGTATCGTACAAACTTCGTCCAATATTGAAGCTGTTGTTCCATCACAAATTATTCCACTCTCTAAATGATCGATAGCATAATAACAATGAGCAATAGATGAATTGATTAATTCCCCATACAATCCAAAATGTCTTCTAAAATCCGATCCAACACTAGCTCTGTAACCATAACCACTTGCAAATCCAACACCATCGACCTCTAAATTCTCCCTATGAATTAGTTCTTTCAAACAGTGAATTACTAATGAAGGATTGGACTCTGCCATATGTCGTTCAAAGCTCAATATAAATTTTAGACTCTTTCTATCAAAGAACATATCAAGAACACAACAGTTATATTGCTCTGAAACAACTTGAATAGAATTGACAATATTATTCTTTGTTGC